ATCCGCGGCAGCAGATCTGGACAGTTCAGTTCATCCTCTTCGCCACCGACGGAGACCGAATACCGAAGGTTCAAGAACCACCTCCATGCCCTGACGAACTGTGTCGAGCCAGGTTTTGAGTTGACCCCCTCTTCGACGACTCCAATGGGGCAACGGTGCCGGATCGAGGGCAGTAACACTAAGCTCCTGAGGTGGACGACAAAGAACATGACCGAACCAACTCAGTCCTCTTTCTTGGATGGCCCGGGTTATCCTTGCGATGTTGTCGCAGCGAGTGCGGACTGTCTCATTCGAGACGAAGTCGGTGTGCTTCACTCGAAGGACGGTCCTCAAACAGTGGTGGCCAAATACCTCCAGTTTTCGCTTGTCCTCCACGCGCACAGCCCAGCACTCACAACCATAGAGAAGGACAGACCAGACAGATAGATGCAAGCTACACGCGAATTTTTATGGCGGTGGAGATGATATGTCGGATCCATAGGTATTTTCCAAGGCTCGAGAAAACTCATCGGGCAGTATCAATTCGGGAGACAATATTATCCCTACTCTACCCAGTCGGCAACAGCCTCGACGCAAGTTATTTGAAACTGCCCAAATCTCCAAGTTGACGGCCATCAATCCCGAGAGGCGCCTTCTCCTGGTCAGGAATGCAACTTGAAAACATTCTGGTCTTCCCAGCGTTTATGGATAAACCGACCGGCTGAGCGACCTCGTTCACCCATGACACCATTGACTTCAGATCATTAAAACTTAAAGCAAGTGTCTTCCGACAGTTCAACCGTCGGTCTCGACGATGTCCACCATATGCTCTCCAGCAGGACGACAGCGGGGGCGGTGACTTTCGCATCTACCGCACTGTCCCTCTCCCACCTGGGCCCGACGAAATCAAGAAGACCGAAGGCAAGAGAAGCCGCAGGTGGCCAACACGACGAAAACCCGCACCTAGTTGCACCACCACGCATTCTTACCCGCAACGAACACGGACCAGGATTTTGCACAACAAGAGAATGGGGGAAAGGTGGCATGAATCCCAAATGGCGCGGACTGAGACAGAGGTTGGCATTTACTATGGGTGCGCATTTCCGATAATGCTTGCCAGACACCGATCTAGTCCCTGTGCTGGTCCAGGGCATCTACCACGTGACCCCTTTTAAGGGCACTCAAGCGTCTTCCAGCGACATATTGCTGCAGGGTACTAGAACGTGCGCGCCGGCAAAGATGAAAGTACCACCTGTCATATTGTCTAGAAATTCTCCATCGGTAACCATTGTGGCAATGATCATCGAAGACACAAAGCTGATTGTGGATAAGGCCAGGTTTCGGTAGTCAACAGGACAACTGCTGGCCCTTGATTAAACTCAAGTCCTCCGGTGTGGTCTCGCAGCTCAGGTGGCTAGACCGTTGGCTGTAATAAGTTTTTCCCTGCTGTCGTGGGTTCGAATTCTATTGAGGCGCCGAGTTTTTCACAGTTGGGTCAATATGAATTATTCAAAGTCTGCCAAAACATCTATGAATCTAAGGAAGGTGGCACAGAATAACTGAAGGTGAACGGGCAGAGTGCAGACACAAAGAGAGCACTGCTTATACCCCACATCCGCGAGGACGCTACTGTCTTCACGTCCGAAGGCGTTGGGTAAAACCACATTCCGCCCCAAAAGCCCGATACCCGCAAACTCTGATTACATTAAATGAACAACCGCTTTCACCGGTAGCCGACTTGCTTTGCTGGAGAATCATGGCACTCACCTGCTCCACTTAGAGGAATGGATCTCATTCGAGAGCGTCACCACTGTGGTTTCACTTAACAAGACGACAGTGGGCGGATGTGCAAAGACTAGGCGTGAACTGAACATTTTTCACCTAGCGGGTGGTGTGCAGTCGAACAGTCTTCAGTGTTTGCGAATGGAATGCCAACTGAGCCACGATCGATAAAGGTGTAAACAGCATTCACGGGAATGGGCCACGCCAGTTCACACTGCTAAAGGCTCTTGAGTAGACCAAACGAACACTCACTACATACAAGTTAAATGATATGCCGACTTCCAGTATCCGGCGTCAGTCACGATGTGGTGAAGTGGCATTACGTGAACAGTGTGCGTCTTTAACCGCCAGTCAGGATGGCAGACATCTTACCTTTAAATTGCACATCCTTGTTGAGTAATTAAGAAAGCAACACTTAAGTTGTTTATTTTTGCGAACCAGGTGACGGGACAACGTCTAATCCGAATGCTCGCGTGCTACTTTTCGTGTTGGTCACCCAATATGACAGCCTTCTGTAAGTTTTCTTTTCGACTCAATCAAGGGTTTGTACTTTTAGGGGTCTACAGTACATGCAGAAGCGGCGCGCTAACTGCACGACAGTTCGACCGTCGATTTAGACGATGTCCACCGTGCAGGTTGAGAGCGACTTGCGCGTGAAGTAGTCTATGGTGATAGTGAACTTGCCCTGCATCTGCGCAATTCCTCCTCCTTCCCTACCAGGATCCGCCGCCGTGGCCAAGTCAAGACCAGAGGCAAGAGGGCGGTGGCTGGCATGGTGTTAACCCACACCTAGGCGTACGACCACACACCCCCTGGTCCAGAACAGACACTGACAAAGATTTTATTCCACAAAATAGGGAGGCTGCATGTATCCCACTCGGCGCGGCGTGGGCCCGCGACCGGGCGTGCCAGCACACCCCCCAATGTTGGCATTGGTTATGGGTGCGCATTCCCGATAACGTCTCCGGTATCTCAATCTAGTGCCCCCCCCGCCATTGGTCCGGCGCATTTACCGCGTGACCCCTTTTTGGGGTCACACACGCAACCAGCGCACACGACAGTTCGACGGCTGCAAACGACGATGTCCACCACGCGCTTCACGGAGCAGGTGAGGCATCTGCCTCACTCTCTTCTCCCGCAACCCCCTTACTCCGATGGCACGACAAAGCTACGACGACCGGGCGCTGGCATGGAAGAGGGCGCACGCAGACACAATGAGCTAACGTAAAAAACTGGCGGCGAAGTCGAATCAACATAACAAAGTAAAAGCAGCCCCTTGATAGAGGAGCGTCCACTATGGTCAAGGAAACGGTATGTAAGTATCCCGTCTTGCCCAGCAGATCCACCGTAAAGCACCTGTGGGTGTCCTACCAGTCAATAATCTGGCCGGTAACCGAAAAAGACCAAAATGCCCATCCCTTAGGCCTACTCTTCCACCGCACAAGAGCCCATGAAAACTCGGGGATTCCAGCCAGCATCTAGCTCTGGGGGGAAGGGGGGGGGGTCCTGATGAAGACTATTCCGATTTAGACAATGTGCACCGGTCCACAGACGGCTAAACCTTCGACTTGTCATCACTGCCCAACTGTCCGGGGGACCGTATCATTCCTATGCGAGATTGAACGAAACGCCTCGATCCAGCTCTAACCACAAGGCCAGAACGTTGGACGTCAAGTGTACGCGACTTTTCGTAGCCCCGGGTCCCCGCCAACAGGCCGTTGGCAGTGTTCCGCTAGAAGAGCGCTTGGCTACTTGCGCTTGAAGTAGTTTATGGCGATAGTGAACTTGCCCTGCATTTACCGCAATTTCTCCTGCTTCCATACCTGGATCCGACGCCGTGATCAAGTCAAGACCGGAGACGGGAGAGGGCACAGTGTTAACACGCACCTAGGCTTACAGCCACACCCCCTGGTCTTGAACACTGACTAAGACTTTGCTTCACAACTGTCCGAATGACCGTATCTTTCCTATGCAAGACTGGACGAGACGCCTCGACCCAGGTCCAACCCAGAAGGCTAGACCGTTGGACAGACGTCAAGTGTACGCGACTTTTCGTACTCCCGGGTCCCCGCCAACAGATCGTTGGCAGTGTTCCGCTAGCAAAGCGCTTGGCTCGCAGTCCACTAACCCAGGCAAACACCTCAGTCTCTCGGCTGCGGTCGTGCGGACTGAGAACGCCAAAGAAACCAGTACTGGCGAACTCCAGTCTCCTCTGGTTTTTTGTGCAAACCTCCGTAACGCATCCTGCGTCAGACGGTCATATGTCAAACATACTAGCAACCACAAGAGCAGTGGGTCAGAGGTTAGGCAGGAAAGAGCCCGAACTGAACCGACCAGTGGTGCTCTCACCAACTCGCTGCCTGGAAACTTTGCTCCCTGGCTGAGAGTCAGCGACACGGCAAACCGGTGCGACACGGGGTAAGCCAGTGTCCACAGGTAAACAGTTAATAAATGGGCGAAAATCAAACAAACCCCGCGGATGGGCTTCTGGGATAGAGAAGAGGGAAGCAATTGTGCGTAGGTCCATATTACAAAAGGATACATCATAAAAACGGAGAACAGCCGTACTGGGAGAGGGGATCGAGGATAGATTGCCCACCGAGGAGAGGATTGCCTACCATCGTTCTGCAAACAGTTCAACGGGCCATGGTGACCCACCTCCCCACCTTACGAGATGTGCGTCAGGCAGATGGGGAGGGGGGGTGGCCCGTGCGGGTCAGTCAGGAGACAGGAAAGGGTGGAAGGCTAGGGGTGGGGGGGGGAAGAGAGGAGAAATACCATAGGGGGCGGGGGACGACAGGGGAAATGCGTCGGGTTTGGTAATTAATGGCAGAAAGGTATACTGTCGAGATAAAAAGAGACTCACTGGCCCAAGGGGGGAGGCGTTGCGAGGTGGGAAGGGGTTAATGAAGGAGAAGTAGAAAAAAAGAACACTGGTAAGGGTGATAGTGGTCGGCCGAGGCGAGTATGTCTATGTACAAACACACGCAAGGAGAACACAGTGTGCGATAAGCGCTTTCAGTGTTCAGGGACTAGATTTTAGCCAGCAGCAGCAGAAGTGAGGGAGGAGAGAAGTCAATTCCATGCCAGCCCTTGAGGTGGGGGAGGGGGGGGCATCGACAGATGGTCCCATCCGGCGGTCGGGAAGATAGAAGCGAGTACGTTGACCGCCAACCGCGAGGGCATCGCTGAACTGGCAGATTTTGCCGTGATGAGGGTGCTTGTGGGATGGGAGGTCGTCATCCGATAATACTACGAATAGCGGCGTCGAGATCGGGATCTTCCGAGTGCTGCAGCTCAGTGCTCTGATCCCGCGAACTGAGGCATGAGCGAGAGCGAGCGTTTGAAGGGTCCTGTGTAGGAAGGAAGAAAGAAAAAACGCAGTCAGTAAGTGCACTGACAGACTGAGTAGAAAAGGTTTGATCTGCTCAAAGTCTAAATTGAGGACCGAGACTACTTTTTAAGCAAAGCACGATGAGTTCGTTACCGCCCGATCGCGGCGACCAGCGTTAATGAACAGCAGAGACAGGAGTCTCTAAATAAAATCGTTTTTGGAGACGGAGATAGAAAAGGGTCCTCGGCAATTTCAAGATCAGGACTGCACCGTATTGAAAAAGTGACAAGTCCCAAATCGCGTCGTTTGCAATTGAAACACACAGAAACATCAGAGGCAGGATGTACAGCAATGCGTCTCAGCCCTACTCTCCACCTCCACTTCAGAAATCCCACTCTGAACAAACAAGGGCACTTATAGTTGACAATCGATTTATTCTCTAGACGGAACCACGCCTCAAAGTGTGTACATGCTGGACTCTCTTTTGCCATCACAATAAGAAATTTCTGGTAGAGATGTCGGGAGGAGTTTGAACGATTGCCAGCAGTTGGGGGATTAGTCCTAAACGTATTAGCCTCTGTTCGTCGATGTACTATCTCGGATGGTACAGATGGTGGACCTGTAGGGGATAGATGGGCCGCTATTCAAAAAGGCCAGTCTAAATATTCCAAGCTCGAGCATTTAGTCAAAAAGAGCTTTGCCTAGAAAAGAGTAGGAAGTCCCTCACTTTGCTGCCACTGTGATGGGTGAAGAAACCGCACGAAAAGCGTGTGTCACACAAGAATCATTCATAGCATCTTCAGAGTTCAAACACGAAGAAAAAACCTTGAGCGATAAAAAATGACAAAATGACACTACTTTATTGGTCGGATCGGAAAATTTACGTGAGATCATCTCTAGCTATGAGCCTATGAACCCCCGTGCTATGGATGCCACGAACCATATATATGTTAGGTACCTGCTTCCACGTCCACCTGGGAGCCCGGAGTGGTCGGGTCTCTACTCCGAGTCATATACACAGAAAACACGCAAGATGACCAGGGCAGGCACTCGTACAACAGCGACCCATAACGGTTAATGTGGCAATAGTTCTCGGAGTTCATTCGCACTTCCCTACCGAAGGCAGACATATGGATAATTAAACCGGCCTCACCGACAACTTGCTCAATCGCTCCCTGGGAACAAAATCGTCTGTTAAACTGGAAAAATAACAACCCATCAACCGGCTGGGCTGAGACCTTCCCTTTGGAACCACCATTAGTTATAAACGCAAGGATGAAGAGTCACAATGAATAAGTCCACATTCCATAGGGGTTAAGTATATGCGCTAGTTATGGAGAACTGCTAATAATGTTTTACAAGGTAGGTTTTCCGGTAAAGCTTTTTGTCGGCCCTTGGTCGGCAGGATGACATTCGCTGACCTGTATCACCCCGAAGAGTCGGTGATGCTGAAATTTCTAAAGCAGTTCATTGTCCTACACTCCCTCACGTAATTGCTAGCAAGAGGAAAGTTCATTTTTAGAAAAAGCTAACGTTTTCTCACCACGCGCATTCACTTAAGCCTTGCCGATTCCCCTTAATGCAACCCAGAAAACGTCAAGCTCAGAATGTGCAGTCTTCTTCTTTTGGATTTGTTCTTTCGGCTCACTTTTTAAAGAGTTCGGCACGGTGGGCAGTCAGGCAGTAAAAACTCGAAATACTGTTAGATGAAATAAATACGCCTGCCAGTAAATTAGAGGCGTTGAAGCGCTGGTGAATTAGTAAAACAACAGCATTTTCTTGCCCCGCGCATATACTTAATCCTTGCTGTCCACTCCTTACCAAAGATGCCAAAGGCGGACTCCGACTACCGGTGGAGGTGGGAGGGAGAGGAAATTTGATTGCGTCAAGTAGGAAGGGGCGATTGAATAATGTTACTGACTTCGGAATGCTACATCACAGTATAACTCGTCCTCTTCGCCAATCCGAGCATCGGGTCTTGTCAACTCACCGCGACAACCAGGTGCCAGTGTGAGGGATATGCGGCCAGAGCCATTAACATACTGCTTGGCTCCGAATCCAAGAAGTAGAGAACACCACTTGGATCCCTAGCCAACAGGCCGAGTTCCTATCCTCAGACACGTTAATATTACTCCGATTTGAAGAAATAACGCTCCGAATGTACAGACACGAACTTCTGGGAGGTTGTTAGTAAACAGTGAGGCATCTCTCCCTGCGGTCGATCGGAGTGGTGGGAAGATGTGGAGGGTATGAAAGTTGTGATTTGGATAGAGGAAACAGGCGATATGGGGGCTTACTGTGACTCCATTGGGCAGGGAGAAGGAGCAGGGAGCCCAGGTGCTCTTGAGGCCTCGACAGAGATCCTCTGACTCCTCACCATCTTCATCCTCCTCAACGGTGTCCTCAGCAATACTGGTCATGTCTAGCTCCTGGCAGTTGTCCTCCTCCGGTGCCCACTCAGGCCATCGGACGTCGGGGGCGACATCGGTGTACTTAGCTGTGGTGTTAGCACGGGATTGGATGAGAAAATGCATTGCTTCTTCCTCCTCCTCCTCTTCCTCCCCATCCGCAATCGGCTCCTCGTCCTCCTCATCCTCAGAGGCCAGGCCACGGCGGAGTCCGTTCTGCGGCTGATGCTGCTGCTGCTGCGGCGGTTTCGTGGACGAGGAGGTCTCCGAACGATGATCTGAGAGGGACGGTGGACTAGAAGGGGAAGAAGGTGACTGCGTCCGTTCTGGCGCACCAACAGAGGGTTCTCCGTTGGTGGGAAGGGGCGAGGGGGAGGGGGCGTCCGCAGTAGGAGCATCAGTAGCGGCATCATGATCGCCAGTGGCTGGTGTGACCGCCTCCACCGCTGAGCTGCGTTCCTCAATGGCCTTCTCCTCCTCCGCCTCCTTTGCGGCTTCAACTGACGGGATGCTGGCGGGGCGGGCATTACCCGTCTCGTCAAAGGTGAGCGGCTCAAACTGCGCGGAGTCCAGGAGTTCACGGAAGCTCTTGGGCTTAGTGGCGGCGCAGGGGTTCTCCGCCAGACCCGACGAGGGAAGAGGATACTCTCGGTCGAGGGCGGCCAGAAAGGACTCACAGGCAGCTTTCTCTGCTGTGAAGATGTCCTGATCCAAGTCCAGAGCCATCTTCGATACCACCAACCGGTCCGCATAGTCGAAATCCACCCGCCTCTGTAGATTGAAGAGAAAACGAGTTAACAAATGTTAGCAAGTCAACCGTGCTTTCACAGAGCGTGTGGAGGGGATGGGAAGTTTGGAGGGTTAAACCAAACATCTGGAGGCGTAGTCGATTGGATCGCCTGTGCCACCGCCAAAAAGGACCCCTGCGGACTGGTTTGGATGAACATTGGTTGGGGGCCTGAAAAGCTGTCAAAAAGACTAGGGGAGAACATGAGGCGTTGGGGAACGAAGTTGGCCTCCTGTCCCAACCATTGTGCAGCCAAAAAGAAGGGGCGAAGTAGGGAGAGTCTGTCGCTAAGTTCCTCACCAAAAAAACAACCAAATTTGACTTTAAATCATCACGACGCGCTATTCGCGGTTGCTTGAAGGACTGCCAGCTGACGCGGTAACTCAGCTCCAGTCAGTAATCGAGCTGCAGTGCTTCTTCTTCCTAATGGAACCCCTATGGCGCTCTCACTTACGTCAGATCGGAGATCAAGATCCCCAGAGCAAGACATGGCAGGTGCAGAGTTGATAACCAGGTCGTATGTGGCACGCACAGACTGACTGTCTAGCTTTGTCGGCAACTGTGTTTACGCCCACCCAGTCGCCTTGACTTTACTCCTCACCCGACTGTGGTGGGTGGGATGACAGGGTGAGGTGGATGCTTTGAAAGTCCGTTTTATTATAGATAAATGTACGTGTAGGTCATAGATGCGCTTGCCCGCCGGGACTGAGTTAGGTCACGTCAACTGCAACGGTCAGACTACTATGGGGACAGTCTCTCCCTCTTTGAGAGAGCTCTAGATTGAGCCCCGAGGCACGGCGGAAATAGAGCAGGTCCTGTAATCTGGTCGGTGGGCGTCCCTCTACCATACATAAATAGGCAGTGGTAGGTTGTGTAACCCCACCTCTCAACTAACTTTGACTGTCTTATCATTGGTTATGCAAGGGGCTATGCACAAGTATTCTTGAAGAAATGAATAGGTCAGGCGTACGCGTTCGACAACAGAAACCGTTCAGAGATATCGAGGAAGCAGAGAGTTTGTGTTCTAACCGAGGCAAAGTAAACCAAGACGCTGCCGGCGATCCTTGGAGCAGGTATAGTATGGCGAGTACCGACATGGCACAAAAACGTCAAACTACTCTTCCGGAAGAAATAAGTAAGTTACGGCGTACAGAATCGACAACGAAAGGCAATGGGGTAATTAGGAAATTAAGGTAACACAAAGGGAAGACGAGGAGCGGGAGCGAAAACAACTAAAAAAGTCATACTGAAAAAAACTCGGTGCATGCGGTTACATCAGTGTTAGATAACACACACAGGAGAACAGCCTGTAGCCATGGATTAATAAACAAAAAGAGGCTTTCTAAAACAAATATGCTAGCTACCTATACATGCCAAACCCAGTGGGGTTACATAACCTATCCTTACCCATAAATATACATTAGTCTCCGAAGCTAAAGTAAAATCAAATTTTTACTGAAAGGTTAAAAACTATCTTTGTTCTGGAGGCGTGTTCAAGAATAAGTGATTGCTTGGGAAATTTTGATGCACACTGTATCGCTGACTCTAACCAAAAACAGATTTCAATGTCTGCGAAATAGCGAACCTGTAAAGTCTACTCTCGAAATGCTAGACACGTGTTTGCACAACCACAACAAAATTATCCAGAATGACCAATGGTTAATCATTTAAAATTAACACTTCTGCTTGATAATATGACGAACATTTGAGATGATTCGAAATGTCTAATGACGGAAACAAAGTGCGGGGATAGGAAAGACACCACCCGAAAGTACGCGGCCTTGGTGGACCGCGTTAAAATGTGGTGCTCTCACACTGAGCTACGGGCTGCGGGAATAATCGGCACTTCCTGTGATTGACCTGCAATGTGAGTACATATTTCAGCCTAATACAGCCTGCCTTGAAGAACGGGCATGAGGAACATCGATTATTCGTGCGGCCGGGGAGATAAATAATCCAAAACAAATCCTTGAGACCGGTAGTTCGGTTCAGTCCAGGCACACCTGCCTTCTTGTTGTAACAAGTAGGGCAGGCGGTCGCCTAGAGCTTAGTAAGATGGCCATAAACGCATTCCTGGGCGCCTGGATATATCCCAGGGGGGCTGACGTATTTGGACGTCTAAACAGGACATGGAAATAGGAACGCCCCGCCCGAGTAATAAAGGTGGACCTGCGCAAAATTCCGGAAAGAGCAAAATATTACCGTGTTCTGACCCCAACCATAACCTTAATATAAAATCAAGTCGTTGTCCTAATCTTGACCCTAAACCTGCCCTAAATCTTAATGTTGCAGTCGACAATAGCTCTTGCCTTAACCCTAGACTTGCTCCTGGCCCACGTTAGCGTTAACTTTAAATCTAACCCTAACTTCACTGGAAGAGATCCGTGTTGCAGGCGGTTGCTGTTCTCATGTCATGTTCAGACGTCCACATAAGTCGGTCCTACCTATATCCCCTGCGGCACTGCCCAGGGACAAGAAGGATACTTCAGGAGGCCACGCAGTATGCTGCGTGTAATCTGTCGGGGACAGAAGAAACGTCTGGATTTCTTGGGCTCTCTGGAACGTTTAGGTAGGGAGAGAGGGCGGAGAAAAACTTCCTGTAATGAGTAAAGACGTTCGAAAAGTGTTGCAGTACGACAGACACAGCTGCGAGGGGTTCGGCTCATCAGTATCCACGGGATATCACGCACAGAACGCCGACCCCCACGCAGGTGGGTGCCTCGAGCAGCGGCAGAATATTGTCGAAACACGTGTCTAGCCTTTTAACTGGTAACTGTGCTGGTAGTATGATAATTTATGCAGCACCACCCGGCTGCCTGTTGGCAGTTTATGAATATTAGGCGGTTATCCCGCTGCAGCTGATGGATTTCGGCTCAAACACATTCATATCAACTTTGGCACTGGGCCCAAAAAACTTCATTTTGACTAATCTACTCGCGACTGGAGATTAATTTCTGAGATGTTATGATTGCCGTTGTTACTGTATACTGATAATTTACCGCCAGAACGGCCCCTTAGTCACACAGCAATATCGCCAGAATGTCGGCCATAGAATTGTCAAAAACTGACAATGGAGATCGACTGCTGTTGCTGCCGCATGCCCCGTCTTCACTTCTGGAAGCTGATAGTAGACCGCAGCTAAAATTCAGGGAGCTTGGAAAGCATTCTATTTGAGGGGCTCTCAGGACTACCTTTGTCAGCGACCAGAACGTGAGGAAAATGACGCTCTGCTATTGGACGGGTGAATTAAGTTCCTATCGAGGCAGGAGTTGTCTCGGTAGTGCATCTTAGTGTGTACGCGGACGAGTGAGGACGACATTCACGATGGTCTCAGTGACTAAGACGATTAGTACGTCTAAATATCAAAACGATGCTGTACCGCTGCAGTTCTGTTTCCTGCGTGATTTCACATCAAGCGTAGAGGTCACGGCGAAGACAGGAGAACAGGATGCATCCTAGTTGACTCAGTGGTGCAGTTCATCAAAACATCGTCCTTTTGGCAAACATCTCTACCAAGGATGGCAAAATATGCCCATCGGCCGAGCATACATACATTTATGGTAGAGGGGTACTCATTGGTCAGGTTACGGGACATGCTTGTACCGTTTTGCCTTGGGACTCAAAGAAAAGCCCTCACAGGCATTCATATGGCTACTAGTGACGACGCTACGAAGACGAGGGAGACCGGAACGACCACTTCCCGCTTATAAGCCTTCATCAGCCAGTCATACCCAACCCCAAGTGTGGATCACTTGAGGTTCGAACCCGGGATCTTTGGTCATGGAGTTGAACGCTCTACCATTGAGCCACGGGCCCGTTGTCCTGTCGGTTGTGATCGGGAATATTAATTCTTGACAGTGGGCGCTCGCCGATCAGGTTACGGAACATGCTCGTTCCGTTGTGCCTTGGGGCTCAAAGAAAAGCCCTCACAGGCATTCATATGGCTACTAGTGACGACGCTACGAAGACGAGGGAGACCGGAACGACCACTTCCCGCTTATTAGCCTTCATCAGCCAGTCATACCCAACCCCAAGTGTGGATCACTTGAGGTTCGCACCCAGAATCTTTGGTCATGGAGTTTGACACTCTACCATTGAGCCACGGGTCCGTTGTTCTGTCGGTTGTGATCGGGACTGGTAATATTATTAACAGTGGCAGGATAACGGGCGAACTCTCCCTTACACTAATAATGTGTCCGGGCTCGTCGAAAAAGCCTGAGAAAACACCAAATACAAGTGACTCACAAGCCAAAAAGTATTTAACGCACTTAGGTGGTACAGCCTAAGGATAGGGTGGGCCACTTGGACAAGGAAGTCGTCTACAAGGTCCCATGCAATGTCTGCGATGCAGTTTATTACGGTCAAACTGGCAATTCCGCCTTCAAACGCATTAACAAGACCACTTATCCCATGCGCCGGGCACACCTTCGACTGGGACAAAACTCGTATTGTCGTCGAGAGGTCCTCGTGATCATGCACTATGATGAATTGTACATTAATCTGCATGTCGACGCGAGTCAATCGGGACACCTACCGGCGCAAACGCCAAAGAAGTACCGACTTTAATGCACTTAAAATGCTAACTGCATTTGGCAAATTATTCTCCCCTGCTTCTGACGACGACTTGGGGAACTGGCGTCGAAAATCTAAACAACAAAGTCTATTTCCTCAAACAGCATATCTGACTTCAGTGTACATACGTATATCAAGTTCATAATTCCGAAAATTATTAAGCGCAGAAGATGGAGTTAGGCGTCTGGGACGCGAATTTTTAGGTTAGACCTAGAAATTCAGTGGAAATTTCGGTCGAGGACAATCGACTACGGTGGAACAACCACGCAATGTCTACTTTACAAACAATAAGTAGTACGAGTAGTATAGATTTCAGATAGCAAAGGTTATATACGGTACTCGCCACACAAGTACTAGCTAAAAGTCCAGACACATGTCTCGCTGATGTTTCGGCTGTTGCATGACGCACTCGCCGATCGCTTTACGGAACATAATTGTCCCCGAAATAAGCAGTCATTTTTGCGTGTCGCCGGCGAAGGAGGGGATGCAAAACGATGTGTCAATCAACACACGCTGGCCCATTTCATTATTTTAGTCAATGTTTATTGAGCCTGTGTGCATAGTACAGGGAGTAACGAAATAACTCTGTTGTTGTTGTTGTTTTTGTTCAACAGTTAACAGAACCGTCGAGTCCCTGCTCTTGGTATCAAGCAATACTGAACTTTTGCCAGTCCGGGTATTCGGTTCTCAGCTGCACATTCCCTCCACCCTTGCCACCGCAATTACACTGAGCACACACACACACTGTAAACTGTTTTTTCAAATGCCCGCAGTGTCGTTTGTGCCCTCCCTTCCCATCTACGATCGTTTGGGGCCACAGGAAGGTGGGAGGTGGGTAGGGGAGGGCGAGGACTTACCCACTTCTCGGAGTACATGATGGAGGCCACCGCACTCTCGGTCTGTCTTTTTCGTTTATTCAGTTGATGCAAGGCCTTCTCGAGGACAGTGTCCACTATAATGGTAGGGGCGGGGCGGGGGAGAGAGAGATGGAGCAGACAATTAAACGAACACCATGAGCAATTGAGGGGGTGGGGAAAAAGGCAAAAAGCAGAAGAAAAATAAAAACAAGCAGGCAGGCAGGCAGGTAGATGTCTGAGGAGAGGCAGCTTTGCGGGAAAAAAGCGACAAGAACGACAGTGGAGGAGTACCCTGCCAGTGCACAGTCACTGCTAAGCCGACGACGAGCTTAAGTATTGCAGTCGCCGAAACTGCGAACTCCTAAAATGTGGTTTCATACAGAAGAGTCGGCAGAAGCAGGTATTACGTGGGCGGAGACCTTTCCCCAAGTGTAAAGACCACAAATATTTCTATAGATTCTGAAAGGAGAGCACTACCAGATCGCACAAGCGACTTCTCCTTGACTTAAAAGGGGACCTATTCTCCTGTCCTAACTTTAACCCTTACTCTAACCCCCCCCCCCCCACCCCCCCCCCCCCCCGAATTTAGGTCAAGACCACCACCAATACGGGAGGGGGAGCCATATTCCCATGTCCAAACAAAGGTAATCATAGATTTCAGTCGGTGGCTAAGAAGTTGCTTTTCCCCCAATTGTGTGTGAAGTCCTGCTTAGGCATGTATGCATATTGCTTCCGCGTGCTGGGAGTGCGGATGGGGCGAACTTTATTCAGGAAATTAATACTACTAACCCCCAAATTCGTAGGCGTCAAAATTCAGCAGATATTCTGTGGTTGGTAAATTCTAACCCCGATTCACATTGGAATCGGGGCTAAACCACGCAAGCCTGATTACGATTATTTTATTCAATGCTTATCTCAAGAAGCTCTGAAGAAATCATAGACATAAAGGACGCTGGGAAGGTCGAACACCTTGCAGTCAAGCCAGGATGGTGTTGGAGAATCGTCGAAACGTCTGGATTCCCAGCCAGTCCATGTGAGTTTCAATTTGTATGAAATAGGTCGTTCACTGGTAGATTTACGAATGGGAATACCACGTGATTATTTACTAGCGATGTTACCAACGCCAAACTGCTATATGTGTAGTAGGTGACGTTACTAATGAAACGTAGTTACGAAAACTTATTTCGGAGCAGGTTCAAATGCTTAGTCGTCTAAGAAGTTCGGAAAAGTCCTCTTCTCCAACCGAATATGTTTCTTGGTAACTTTACCAAGTATAAATTTGGGTGGGACTTCATATTACCTCATGCTTAGATAATTTCCTATGTTGGTAACTGTTTCAGATCGCATTTATGCATTAATCTGCGTTTTTCTACTAGTGGGCTATAATCTAAACGGAAAACCTTGACCAAAGCAACTTTCGTCCACTAGAGAATTGATTATTTGTCCTGCGTAAGTCATATGACTCAGAACGTTACTTGTCGAAAGACTGATGTGTACTCACATGATCAGATTGTGAAAAATCCGGTCCCCCCCACTGGTAGGGTTCGAACCCACAACAACAAAAGCAGGGCTTGGGTACAGCTTCGAGGCTGATATTTAGAAATTCAGACTTGTAAATTCGTGCGAGTAAATATCCTCAAAAGCAGTAGTAATGCCTAGAGACAATCTTCCGTTTGAAAGTAACCCTACTTTCCTGACATTTGAGGATACCCCAAAAGGCAACTCCCAAAAGGCCATTAAACGCCCTTTCAATTTTTGAGCACGCGGTAAGGTGATTTTTGTGCAATGTAGTTTCTGCTAATAATTAATTTAGAAACGGAATAGGCCGGTATTATCAATTTGGCAAGAGTATGGTCTGTGGCCGGGGTTACTTAGTCCGGAGAGCATTTATGTAAAATAACTGAACATCTAAGGACTTTGTGGGACCATAAATTTTCATCCTTAATATAGTCACCAATTAAAAGGGGACACTGGTTTTACCACGTAAGGATAATAGTAATGCCCCTTTGCAGGGATTGTCGGAAGGGTACTGCATTGCTGTATTTTAACTCTGATGACTACCTTAAAGCAACAGCCACAGCGTGGTCCTCTTATTCTTTTCTCTGGCACGTACAATATCGTCAGTTATTTTCTTTAAGAACAATTGTTCTCCGGATGCGCCGAACTGTCGAGGGACAGGCTAACAGGTGGACCCGTCTTTTCACCTTTGTTCGGTAGAGTAAGCACAACCTGGAGGAATGAAAGTCCACAAGGCTGTGTAAGAAATCTCCCCCACTGGGATGTCGGGAAACTGGAGATTGCGGTCAAAGTTTTTTATATGTAAAAAGGGAAATAGTATGACCCTATGAATGTAGCGATCGGTGTGGGTGCGGTTGTACACATTCGCGGTTCGCATTGGGGTCAAAACGACTATCAGCATTGTATTATGGAGGTAGGGAACTGGTCGACTACCGGAAATCGTACTGCGGCAATCCGGTCAAATTCTGTGAGATAGAGCATCTTACCGAGTTTCAAACCCTAGCCCTCACAGACAGTTATGCAAAGGACAAGTAAGGAGTGAGGAATGTCTGCCATAAAGAACGCCACAATTTTACTCCTCGCTTGAAAACCACCCTAACTACTTTCCGGGGCTTTCATCGCTAACTGCCCATCCCTCATCAGCCGTAGATGCGCTGGACTCACAACTTATGACAATGATGCCAGTGGCTTTCTTTTAAAAGATAGTGCTGATAATGGTGAAGGTGTTAATGGGGAGCAACTAAGGTGCACGTACCCTTTTCCATAGCCTGCGGCGTATTGTCCAGGTCCTGGAATGTGTGGTAGGGAAGCAGCAGCTCAAGCAGCTCCTCCGGCGTCGGCAGCCGTTTCTCCTTCTTCGGCTCCTCCTCCGTACAAGTCTGCGTATCGGCGGCAGGTCTGGCGACCGCCCTGCGATGATCGGAGTGTAGCATACTGCGCAGATTGGTCATTCGCGAGGCCTGCTGCACTGTCAGGGCAGGCGGCCGAATGACGGAGGGTGCGGCGGTTGGGGAGGCGGAGGAGACCGAGACTACTGGAGTCGGTCGGTTGGCGGATTGCGGTGACATCAGTACGGCGGCGGTGCCAGCAGCCGAGGGATTATGAACGCGGGTCAGCATACACATGCCTACCGGGGTGGCGGAAGCAAGTCGCGTCTGCAGGATATGCATAGGCTGCGAATGCGGAGTCGCCGCCGTCACCGCGATTGATGCGCCGTTGGGAGGTCTGGCAATGGGCAGAGAGGTGGAGGTGACGGGTGGCTGAAGGCGTGGCGGCTGACCGACGTGGCTGCTGACAGGAAGCGGCAGCCCCGACGGTGTCAACGAACGCAGTTGAGGTTGCGCTTGGGAGGCCTGTAATGGCGGCGCTGGTGGTTGCATCTGGATCACAGAACTACACGTTATGGAAGGCGACCTCGGCGCGCAGGCTCGAGACTGAGCGGCGGTGACTTCGGCGAAGCGTGCTGCATAGAGTGCAGCCTGCTCTTGCTGGTAGAAGATGAGGATCTCGGCCTGACGTTGAGCCGGTTCACTTAGTAGCAAGCTCTCCAGCTGCGCCTTCTCAGCACGTGTCAGGTGTACCTTGTAGCCCTGATTATTGAGGCGAAACTCCACCAGTACTGTGTTGCGCATGTCATAGGCGGTCTTGATGGGGTAGAGATTTTTTTGACGCAGTAACTCCATCACCTCGGAGCGCTGTCGTAAAAGAGGAGACGGCAAAACGTACATACATGTATACCTGCACAAATGCGCTAACATTTGACAAAATAGTTCTTCATGCAGAAGCTTTTAAAGACTGATTAGTAATTTTGTTCATCAAACGATATTCGGTCGAGCGTCAAACAAGCGGACATGTCTTTTGAGTCCTTCTCCCTCAATCTGTGCATCTTTCTTCAAGACATCGGAATTAACTGGTTTTCATTCTATCACCCAGGAAAGAACAGGAACTATCGGGAGCCTTCCTAAAACGTCCATACACTGAAAGTAGGGGACAATCACATAACGAGGTCTGATTTGCCCGCCCGATCCGCGAGGTAGGATCGCCTCTCGCCTTCGCCGCGCTGGAGCAAAGAAGGTCCGGCACGGGGTTCGGTTCCCAAGTGCGCATACTATTTCTCGACTCAGCTGGCGTGGCGTACGTAATATGTCAGACCAGAGGCGTGCAAGGTCGTTTGTGAAACGCCTGCTAAAGGCCTCTTCCGCGGATGATGCGGTCACGTCAGTTCAGTGAGACAGAGGTTAAGGAGTTTGAGGCTACACACCTGTTCCCAATCTGACGCTCATAGCAGGCGAGAACTTCGATTCGCATCAGACACGACAATTCCGGCGGCGAGTTCTGACAATGTCCACCGTGTGCCGCAGAGCATGGTGGGTGTACGGACGACGACTTGTGCGTAGTTCAATTTATAGTGACAGTAGCCTTTTCTGCACCTACTACACCCCCTCCTCGCTCAACTGATCCCGGTGTCATGAGAGAGAGAGAGTCAAGCAGATCGGAGGCAGGATCGGGAGCAGGTGGCTGGCGCGATGAGAACTTGCACCTAGGCGTGCTACCACACAACATCGCAATTTGCTATGGGTGCGCATCCCCAACAACGTCTCCCGTCCCCTGATCTAGCCCCCGTGTCGGCCATGCACATCTGCCGCGTGCCTCGTTTTAGGGGGCTCTCACAAACACACACACACAAGTTCACGAGTTCCGGTCAACGGTATTAATTAGAAAGGACGCGGCAAGTAACACAAGAATGGCACATATTTTGCAGATAGCTGTGTGCACGTCCAGTTAATAAAGATTATCGGCTCACATGCGTTGTCCGCGTCATGTAATTCCCGGGCCGAGAGACGAATATCAGTCTCGTGCGAAAAGGGGACCCAGCAAGCCGGGCATTCTCGCGTGGGCGCAATAAGGAAGTCCAATTACACAGACTGAGTGGACTGGGTGTTACGGTCGTCGAGGCCGACATAGCGTTAAGTAGACAGTTTGCACGCTGAGGCCGACGATATCCACCGTGTACTCCACAGTAGGGTGAAAGCAGACATGACTTGCGCGTGAGTAGTAGACTTGGACAGCATCTACCGCATTCGCTCCTCCTCCTTGCCCACATGGCCCCGGTGTCATGACAGAGTCCAGAAGACCGGAGGCGGAATAAGGCGCAGGCGGATGACACAGCGAAAAGCCGCACCTAGGCGTACCCCCACCACACCCCTTGGTCCACAAAATGCACTGGCCAGAATCTTATGCTATGACAAAAACAGGGGAGCGACACGGATCCTAAGCAGCGTTAAACGGACCTACAACTGGGCCTGCTATCGTACCCCAGTGTTGGCATTTGTTACAAGTGCGCATTCTCGATAATGCCTGCCGGATTCGCATCTGGCCTCTGTGTAGGTCCAGCGCATATACCGTGTGGCACGTCTCAGGGGCACATTGTGTTGAGTGGAGGTATTGGTACACGCACCCTTATGCCACGAAGCCAATAATGAACCTGCTTATCTGATAGCTCACCCGTTGACCCCCACCACTACGCCGGTAGTGAGCTTTGTGTTAGGCGGGAGGAGAAATTTCACAGCATCGACCAAAACCACCTCTGTCGTGTTTCAATGGTGCGAGACTAGGTCAAAGCCACTTGAGATGGGCAGGACGTGGTGGCCAATTTGGCGTTAAGTTCCACTCACATGTACTGAATCACATTACATACTGGAGTAGCTTTGAGAAATAACAGGTGAGACAGGCGCTAGACGGTGACGGCGTGAAGTGACCATCTCGAGAGGCGAGGTAGTCGGTGCGACTGTCACAGTTCACCGAGGAAACTATTCCACTCCGAGAGCCCCAAACGCCCCAACCGACTGCCTACTCTAGTAATTCGTGCCTAACTTGCACAGTCGTCTGCTGCGATCGAATGAGCAACTGAGGGACAGCTAGTCTCCCAGTCACTAGCACATGTTTCCAGCATCGAAAAAAACATCTGCTGGCCTGGTATTCAAACGACGGCCATACGGCCAGTCAGATTGATAACATACTAGTCAGCTCAAGGTTCCGCAGCTGGGTTCACGATAGCAGATCGATGCATGGTGCCGAGACTGGTAAAGCTCATGGGGCGGACCATGTCCTCGTTCGTACACGCTTGACAGTTCATCTCTCATCCGCACCATAAATGCCACCTCCTAGACGCCCAGATGTCGCAAAAATCCGGCAGACCGGCATTGCTGAGGCCCTGAGCAGAGAAATCCGGACCTTTTTTACGACCCGAGCCGACGGAGAAGGCGATAACCAATGGTCGTCACCAAAAACGTCAGTCTATGGGACGGCTGAGAAAAGCCTTGGATACACCCAGCGACGCAGCAGTGACTGGATCAGCGGAAGAACCCTGCAGTTGTCTGCTCAGACGGCTCGAGCCAGGTCCCGTAACGATGACTGCTTCCGCCAACTTCGGAAGATGACGGCAAAATCGGCTAGGGATGACCGGAAGCAATATATGGCTGAAATAGCGACCTCCATGGGACAGGCCTCGAACGTTGGTGATACTCGAAAACTCTGCCAACTGATCCGCAGGTTAGCGGTAAGCCCTCTACACTGAGTGACTCCAATCTCGACGTGAATGGCGGCTTTATTGCAGACAACTCGGCCAAAGTCGAACGCTGGCGTGAGCACTTCGAGCACCATCTCAATTTCCATACCCAACCTACCACGCCCTTGCTCTCCTCCTCAGCGGAGTTTCTTCCCTCTCCTAAGTATGCAGTGACATGCGATCCCCCCTCCGAGGGAGAAGTCGCCGATGCCATACAAAGGCTATGCAACAACAAGGCACCCGGAGAGGACGGTATACCCGCTGAAATCTTCAAGTCTTGTGTCGACACTCTGGCGCCCTGTCTCCACGAGGTGATTAGACGAGCGTGGAGTGACGAGGTTGTTCCTGATGACTGGGGCTTAGGCATCCTTGTACCTATCCTCAAGAAGGGAGATAAGACGAGATGCGAGAACTACCGCGGCATAAGCTTCATCGACGTTGCTGAGAAGATCTTCGCTAATGTCCTACTCATGCGGTTCCAGGCTGTGCGTGGCTCTAGGACGAGGCCCAACCAAGCTGGATTCCGTGCTGGACGTGGATGCGCGGACCCGATATTCACACTAAGGCCCATTCTCGAATTTCGCCATAGCTACCGACGGCCGTCTGTCTCATTGACTTTGCAGCCCACTTCGATTCCGTCCATCGTGAGTCCCTATAGCGGATAATGGCGCTAGATGGTGTACCGGCAAAAATCATCGCCATAATCAAGGCCTACTATCGTTCCACTACTGCGGGGGTCCTGGTCCGTAACAATTTTTCCCAACCGTTTGGTATTCGGTCTTGCGTTCGACAGGGTTGTATCCTGTCGCCCATTCTGTTCAACTATGCTATTGACTGGATTCTCAGGAGAGCCCTACACGAAGGTGACGGTGTTGAATTTGCCCGCGGACACCGACTGACTGATCTCAACTATGCCGATGATATTGCCCTACCTGCTTCAAGTTTTGGTGATCTGCAGTCTATGGTGTCACGGATGAACGAGGTCGATCAATCGGTCGGTTTATCCATAAACGTTGGAAGTGTTTTCAAGTTGCATTCCTGATCAGAAGAAGGCGCTTCTCGGTATTGATGACTGTCAGCTTGAAGAAGTAGACGGTTTTAAATACCTCTGAGCGAGGCTGCTGTCGAATGGCCAGAGTAAGGATGACATTGTCTCCCGAATCGATGCTGCCCGATGGGTTTTCTCAGGCCTTAAAAAACGTCTATGGATCCGACGCGACCTCTCCATCGTCACTGAGATCCGCATGTACCGCGCTTCTGTCTAGTCTGTCCTCTACAGTTGTGAATGCTGGGCTGTGCGCGTGGAGGACGAGCAAAAAGTGGAGGTATTTGACCACCACTGCTTGATGACAATCCGCCGAGTGAAGTTCACCGACTTCGTCTCGAATGAGACAGTCCGCACTCGCTGCGACAACATCGCAAGGATAACTCAGGCCATCCAAGAAAGACGGCTGAGGTGGTTCGGGCATGTTCTTCGTCGTCTACCTCAGGAGCTCAGTGTTACTACCCTCGATCCGGCATCGTCACCCCACTGGAGGCGTCGAAGGGAGGGTCAAACTAGAACTTGGCTTGACACAGTTCGTCAAGACATGGAGGTGGTCCTTGGACCTTCGGTATTCGGGCTCCGTCGTGGGCAGAGAGAATGGGTTGAACTGTCCAGATCTGCTGCCGCAAATCGTCACGCATGTAGAGGTACAGATAGGAACACGATCGAGACCGGCTAGATCAGGCATGATCGCACCCGTACCAAGTACAAGCAAGTGTTTGATGTTGCTGAGGTCGATGACAACGGCAGCGGTATAGAGAAGGGTAAAAGGCGGCAATCCGCCAAGACATCCGTAACTCAAAAACTTACCACAGCCGGTGAGAGCACGATCGGCCTCGGTTGCAGGGCGGGTCGCGGTCTGGGGTTGGACGATGGCGGCGCGGAGGGTACTGCGGGACGGGTGACCCTAACACCCGCAGCCACGGCGGCCTTGAGCTGATCACGAGCTTTCACCAGATCCGCTATTCGACTCGTCTGCTGGGCTGTGGGCTGAGGCAGACGCCGCAACTCCCCAATCTGCACCTCCAGTTGGCGCAGCACTTCGGCAGTGGAGGGCGTAGGGGGAGTGCTAGTAGAGTTGCCGCCAGCTGGTGTCGGAGCGATGGGCGGTTGCGGCGGTGGTGGCGGCTGCTGCTGTTGTTGTTGTTGTTGGGGATAAAGAACCGTAGGGGCACCACCCCGAGACACCTGGGGTGGAACAATGGGAGGTGTCGGTTGACAGATCGGGGCGAGAGCAAGCGCTCCGTTCGGCAGTCGAGTGAGCGTCATTCCGGGAGGGACCTGAAAGACGTTCCAAGACACATGCAGGTAAATTGAGGCAGTGATGGACGTTGTGAGGCCCGAGAAATTGAGACAAAAAGGATATGGACCGATTATCCTCTCACCACTCCGGTAGCAATCGGGAGATGGCACCCAAAAAAATCCGCCTAACCAAAGCAGCCTGTCTTACGGGACAGGTGGTAATAGGGGTTTTATGGGGTGGCTGGTCGGGATGTACGATACTAGCCGACAAAAAGCCTTAGTTGAACAGGTAAATGATCAAAGTTGACCCGCTCTCCGTTCCGTTATTACAAAATGGATCGCCAAAGGCAGTATAGTGGTAACGGACGAGTGGAAGGCGTATAATCGTCTTCTCTCAGAAGGTTGTCTATATTTCTCTGTTAACCACTCAAAGAACTTCAAGGACCCTACCACCGCACGGCACACCAATGCCATTGAGGCATACTGGAGTAGACTGAAAAGGAAACTCCACGAGGGAGGCCCTGTATGTGGTCCAGCTTTGTGGGCTCACATAGACGAACTACAGTATCGTCTTTGGTTTGGCCTCAATACCATGTCTTTAAAAGATGCCTGGGAACTGTTCCTGTCCCATGTTGTGCATACTTATCCTATTTAAGAGTGATTTTGTTTTGTAATAAACTGCCATAATGCGAGTGTATGCCATATATTCAGGTGTACTTGTGTAACGATGGGAACGGTTGGGTAACAGCGACCATCATCCATGTAAGCTCCTGCGATGTTCGTTCGGCCAGCCCATGTTAGGCCGTCGCGGAAAGTCCAAGTAGTGCGTGAAAGTAGGCCTTCAACCGCCGATATAGCCTGAAGGCGTTTGAGTCCACTGTCAAAGGTATTATTTCTAGGTAACGGATTTTTTTGGGTGCCATCTCCCGATTGTTACCACCACTCCAGTAGGAGAAAAAGGTAGACGATTAAGATTAAGCAGAAGCTTGGAAATCGCCACTGCTGTGCCCACAAGCAGGAGTAAATAGCTTATCTTCCTGCCCTTCGGTGCATTACTTTGTCTTTTTCGTCCAGGATGATGCCGTCGCGCCGCAGCAGTCGTCGCTTTGAAATTCGCCAACTGCAGGGGCTACAGAACATTATGTTGAGGCAAACTCTGACTGAGAAGCTAATTCTACAATGATGGCCATTTCTCAGGGTCAACATTACGTGTTCTAGACTTCTGTAAGGGCGGTTCGGAGTTCACATACGTGAAAGTGTTATGAAGGCCACCTTGGGAAGCTGCCATTTCAGCCTGACCCCGCCCCCCCCCCCGGTCGCCCAGTCACCCCAAATTCATTCCACCGGGGACTGAGTTGTCCTGTCAGTCGGCAACCCTCCAAGCCACGACTTTTAGGGCGTCGTAATAGCTTCCACCGCGTCAGACTTGGTATAGCTAGGAATGCGCTGATTTGCTGTAGGGATGGTTTTCCCCGCTGCACGAGTCGCCTGACCGAGTCTCTCAGCCAACCAATGAGAATGCGGACAGTGGTTAAATAGCCCGTCCGGGCACTTCAAACAGTTGATACCTTTGGTCTGAAGACTGTTGAGACTGTTTTTGCGAAATGCTGCGATAAAGATGACGTGCTTAGACAACAGCCTCAGTAAGCAGGAAATATCCTAACTCATGGGATACACATGGGCATGCATTTGAAAGGAAACTGAAGGTTAGAAAGTTTCGAAAACAGAACAATATCCAGACAATCAGGAACTACCTGCTTATGGTGGTTTTCCCCGTTTGGACGCGCGATTTTTGGGAATTTCATGTGAAGGTATGCGCACCATAACCCCACGTTTCTTGCTAAATTGACAAACGACTGATACTTCTTTTTCAGTGTACTTTAGGCCCCGTAAGTGGGCCAGAGAAGACACTGTTTACGACTTTTTCAACCAAAACGAGGGTCATCTTGCGGTTGAGGAGTTTCATAGCATGCAAACAACTGTCGCTGATGGAACTCGGAGATAAATACCGGTACAAGAATAGCTTATAAGGAGGGGTCAAACTCGTAGAAGGCTTTCGCAAGCGGGCGACCCTCAACTTCCACACACAGGTGACCGTCTGGAAGACCCGGTGTCCGGGATTGAAATTTATCAGAATACCATGTTGAATCAGACAGGCACGTGCACTGGAGAGAGAGTAGAGCATTGCCCAACAGGAAACCGACGACTAAACCGCGAATTCGGTGGAGATACGTTTCGAGGTGTGCTCTTCGCCACCAATGTGAAACAAAATTATCCTCCTCTGACAGGTCGACGCGGTGGCTTCCCAAGCAGATGAACCTCCTTCGACCATGCCAAACCCTGATCTCTACCAGGAGGCTACAGTTACTGTATGAAGGTGGGCTGTGAAGTTAATCCACCACGGCTTTCCCCACTCCAGCCTGAGTCTGTCACTCACGACGGCCGCATTTAAGAAAAGATGTTCAAAGTTGGCCAAAGGGTTTGAAGTTTCACAAGGCAAGGTATTGCGTGGACCACGGCACGTGCAGCACACATGTGCGCCCATCTGCAGTTGCAGTCACATGTTTGTAATTTCAGTTTCTACTGCATGATTCCGCGGCAAACAAAATGACCATCAAGCGTGGCGAATGAAAGCTCCCCCCACCCCACCCCCCCAATCACCATCAGCAAAGAGCTCGGTTAAAGGCACCCGGGTATCCGGCTGCATACCCTCCCATGGCCTCAAGTTTTGGCAGAAAACTACGAAGCCGCAGCGCTGGCGATAAACTACCCGCTCGCGCCACTGCTTCTTTGATGTGATTAGTTCAACCGTCGTTGCCGACGATGTCGACCGTGTGCTCCACAACAAGGTGAAGCAGACACGGTGACTTGCGCGTGATTTAGTTTATAGTGAATGTAGACTTCAAGCGTGTCAGATTGTTTACAGTGAGGAAAATGTGCTGAGTCGTCGACCTCGTTCTCTCTTCCCATTCTCAGGCCCCAGTCTCAGTACGAGCCGGCCAGTTAACAAGCGCGCAGAGTGGGCACGTTGGCTGGCATATCTAGTGACTTCGTCTGCGCGCGCCACATGCACGACCTGGCTCCCCAAACACAAGCACCAGGATTTCACACAAGGGGAGTTGAGCGGCGTACATCTCACGTGCGTGAGAGTGCCGTTGGTCACGTTAAGGAGCCGCTTCAGCCTGGCTCTCGGCCCACCAGTCCGCCACTCCACACAAACACACACGCACAACTCGGCAGACTGCGTGGATTGGGTGGGGGCGTCAGTCAGCAGCCTTCCAAGCCACAGCGCTTGACGCGTCGTGATTCGCGTCTCCGATTCAATGTGCTAATGACACCCTGACACACCGCCTCATGAGCCCGAGGCACATACCGCCACCTCATTGAGCATGTCAAAGGGCAGTTCAGGCAACAGTCCAACCTTGTAGTGAGATTAAAAGATAAGAACGAAACTGATAGAGCTACGCGTAATTGACTCAGTGAGTCAGGTCTGCTAAACTGACAAAAAAGTATTTCTGCAGAAACGACATCAGGGGGAATTTCTTGTAATTTTCAGCTGGCAAAGATTCCTCCTCTCTGCTGAGATGCTGGTTTACCACTTACCGCGAAAATCCATCTGCGACGAGGTGATGGAACAATTGGCAAGCTGGTCGAGCACAACACCCTAATGCCGGAGACAGGGAAGTCAGCCTTGTCGTCGTTTACAACATGAGCTGTCTGCCTGGGGATTGCAAAACTTGACGAGCATGCAGGACAAAACTAAGAGAAAAATAAGCGGCTAGAAAAGATCAGATGCTGATCAGTCAGGTGATAGAAGACAACAGTAGCTCCAGTAGGGGACACGCACACACCCAGCAGGTGAAGTCGCATTCCAAGGGAGGCATGCCTGCCAATTAGATGAGAAAAACAGGCCAGGGAAATTGAGAAAAAAAGTCAAAAACACCGACACCCCCCCCCCGTTTCCCCAGCGTCACTGTGCAGTCAGTAAGCACGGGGTCGAAAGGCTGTTATGAGGACCGAGAAGTCGACCGAGAATTGACACCCGCACATACATGCATGTGCCCAGAGGAGGCACACGACATGCGCGTGGAGGCAGTGGCCTTAAAGGAGTGCGAGAGAGAGAGAGAGAGGGCAGCACCCGCACCAAAAGACTTTGACAAACGCAACTAAGAGAGTGCAAAGTGTCGTTAGGGTTTGTCTAACCATAAACAAAGGCAGCACACTTCATGGGTGTGTGAGAAGGGGTTTCTCTCTGTGTGCGTGTATTAATGACAGAGTCTGCACAGCCATGTGGTAGCCGTCACCGGAAAGTGCTACATCGAGGTGTAGTTAATGATGCTCTGTGGGAACTGCGAAAGGGGCCGGCATGATGTACAGCACGCATGCTACATGTAATTAACAAAAAACCACAGACGAGAACCTCTGAAATTTTTCTAAAATCGTCGTACAGCCTTCAGTCCTTTACTGTTAGCCATTTGTGACACTAGGTGCTAGTCCGTCAGTCCCAACACTAAGCACCCGAAAAGCAGGGGGCCGGAACTTTGGGCAAATTAAAACAGTGAAAATGTCTTTTTGGGCCAGTAACAACAGTCGACCTTCTGTATGACATTCTCGGTGTTCTGTCACTTGCACCCCCAAAGGTGCCCGGATTTTAAACTGCGTACGTACCGATCTCAATAAGTCCCCCTCCCCCCGCCTCATCAAGGTGTCAAAGCGGTTAAAAGTCTTCGTGGATGAAAAAGTACGGGGTTGAGGTGGCTCGGCGCATCGACGCCAACCTCCTATACATGAGCAGGGAGTCGTCAAAACATCCTGGAGGCCGTCTAAGTCAGCTCAGAACACAGGTGTATGAAGTACTTAGATGTATGTCAAGAAAACAGAGGTCTGGGAAGACCTACAAGCAGTTACCTAAAGGCGTTCGGTTGAAAAACATGGGCACTGTGCTGACGTGACTTAGTTTGGTCGGTATCTCTTGCAACTATGGAAACCCAGGCGAATTTGTACGCAGTACGAGGTTACATTTCCAGGAAGGGGCGTACATCTTCAGAGAAGACCGTACTTTGGGTGATGTGCTTCGGGGAGTTAATAGGAAGTCGAAAGAAGAAAATACTGAGTGCACAGAAGTTGGGAGAAACGCCAAAGGTCTTTTCAAAAACTTCCAATTCATTTTAGTGGGTAGTCAAGGATGGAGCGGTTGCGGCCCTTATGAACACGAAGAAGTTCCAACACTGTACTCAGAATATTCGGGCACATGATAGACGTATCGGCTCCTTTTCCAGAAGATGGAAGGCCGCAAGCAGACGAGTGACGGGAACTCCTCCGGCTGGTCTTCATCCCCACAGAGAGCAGTACGCGAATGAATGGACAAGGCAAGACAGAACTGTTATAACTGCAGACTACCCTTGGTGGCTAGCGTGCTGACTAGCCAACGACCATTGGCCCAGAAAGGAACTGCGTGATTCGTTGTGTGAGGTAGACGATACGATTGCGAGGAGGGCAGAGGGCCAATCAGATGCCAGAAGGAGCGTTACGGTTTTGCCAGCGGTATTCAAGAATTTCTACCTGCTACATTTGCTCTCTCATACCAAATAGGAATCGTAGGGTATTCGGGGGCATATGATTGGATTTTCATCTAAAGCACGTAGTCCAATCAGAGGCTTGAATTTAAGAAGGTGGAAATTTACTGGTGCGAAAAGATGCGGAATAATTTGGATTATCAAATGTCAAATGCGTATTGGTAACGACGATTGTTTGCATAGGAACCGAAACGTGATTCACCCAAGCACGTGTCCCGAGTGGTAGTTGTAATTACGAAGGAGGCACGACCGCTGGGACAAAAGCTTTATTAGCCTAACATTTCGGATTCTCCCCCGAATCCAGCATCAGAGAGAGATTCAGAAAGGTCAGTCAGAAGCACAATGGGCGGGCATTGCAAACGTTGAGTCTGGAGAATTTGTGAAGGAAGCTGGATTTGTTTCATAGATGACTGATAGAACCCTCAGTACCTCAGACATGCTAAAAAATGCCTCAACTGGTCATCTCATTCCACTGGCTCTCTTATTTACCAGTTTTCCGTGACAATTTTGAGTAGGCGGTGCTTTAGACCATGCGGATGAAGTATCAGGTTGTAAATGTACAGAACACACCACAACCAATTATCATAAAAGGATAGCTATTTTAGTGTTAATAAGAACACTAGGGTGTACCTCGTCTCTGTGGCCCTGGTCAGTGAGGATTACCATAGGGCTAGAGAGAAAAAGTCTCAAGCGCGACAAACGAGACAGAGTAACCACAAAAAGCACACTATTGTTCACTCAGTACAGGCGCTAGGGACTGCAAATATCCCAGAGCGAGTGCAGTAGTCACTTGTTCACTGTTTGGCAGACTTGCTTTGCAACTACCTCACTCTCCGCTTGCATGCCCACTGTGTTCCAGCGGCAAGAGAACACCCAACCAACTAGATTTCAAACTTCATATACAAGTCAAGTCCCATTAAGGAATCACTACAGTCTGACCGCCGGTCCATTGTAGGACCGATTTATTCTACCAGATGGCAGTCTTCCGAGCCACGACTGTGGGCATGTGGTGGTAGTCTTAAAGCTTGTCTGATTGTCTATGGTAAGAAGAGTGAGAATTGAGTACGAGCCCGAATGACCCCCGCCTCTCTTTTGTCTCCCCCAGGTGCCAATGACCTATTTGGGTCAAGCCGACTGGGAATGAGACTAAGTGCGGTAACTGGTGGGACTCTGAGTTGCCGTCTAAGGCGTGTCACGCATACGTGCGATGCGTCATGAAGACAATAGTGAGTCGTTCCAGGAGAGCAGATTTAGCCGTTAGCTGGGCACCTAAGACACGATTTCCAGTGTGTCATAAAACTTTCAAGTGTGCCGCATTTATTCCAGTGAGGAATGCATGGATTTGCCGTGAGGTGTAACACCTCACTATAGGGCGCTCTCTCGCTCTCTCTCTCCTACCTCATCCATATTTCAGCAGCCTGCCCGAGTGACGACTCGTTGCCCGCGATGTCCACCGTGTGATCCACAGCAAGGTGAGAGCAGGCACGGTGACTTGCGCGTGATTTAGTTTATAACGAATGCGGACTTGCGCAGCATCTACCGCACTTTCTCCTGCTCCTCATTTGGACCCGGTGTCATGACACAGCCAAGAAGACCGGAGGCGGGGGAGGGCACGGGTGGCTGGCGTGGTCGAGGCCGCACCTAGGCGTGCCGCCACGCCCGGCTAAGATCGCAGGGAGTGGGTGTGCCCTCAAGGCTACATTAACGAGCTATTGCAGCCTGACTGTCAGACCACCAGCAGGGCACTCCCCAGAAAAACACATAACAGTGGGCCGACTGCGAGGTTCAATTTCTCCCGTCAGTTGGCAACCTTCCAGGCCACGGCTTTTAGCGCACTGTGGTGGCTTCAGGCGCGTCAGATTGTTTATAGTGAGGAGGAAAATGCGCTGAGTCGTCAACCTCACACTCCGTCCCCATTCCCAGGCCCCAGGCACTGTCAAAGCCGGTCAGTTGACAGGTGCGGGGAATGGGCGCGGTGGCTGACATATCTAGTGACCTTGTCTGCGTGCGCCACATGCACGACTTGGTCCCCCAAACACAAGCACCAGGATTTCACACAACGCATACACACACACTCGACATTTTGCTCGTCATTACCATTACAATTCGGTTTGTGTCGAGCGATATGTTGGTTATAAAATGTGCGCATAGAATCGGAAAGTCTCGTGATGGCCATATAACTGGGGACAACGTAAATATGAACTACGGCTTCTATTTATGTGATCCTAGTAGTGAATGTGCATATGACCAGCTGGAACCATGCGGACGAACAGAGGCAGGCAAGGCGGACGTGACGGCTGTTGGCCAGAGCTCCAGACACTGGTTCACTAGTCCTGTTGCAATGGATTCACCGGCGTCCGAATGGGCCGATGCGCAAGTGCAACGTGCGGCCACACTGGGGACAAGGTGTTGCCTTCTGCATTGTTGGCGACTGCCGTTTTTGTCTTGGCTTTATACGATAAGGGCAAACTAGGGCGGAAATGTGACGCAACAGTAGGGGCAGATGAAAGGGGTCCCTGCAGCAATGACAGAATTTCGTTGTGATGGGGGTTGATTGGTCGTACCGCCGAGTTCACGAGCAAGCTGAAAAAAAGCCATGCGAGGCCCGATACCTCCATGGATATTCGGAGACGTTTAATAGCCTATGCCTACGTGTTTCTCTCTTCTCTTACCCGTCCCCCGGAGTACCCTACCGGAAGTGGCCGCCAAAACCTTCGAAACTAATCACGATTCTAACCTTGCAGCCACTAGGACAATCGTCCACGTCGGAAACAGGCCGAGCCCAGAATCGGGTAAAGCCTGGACCTCGGGCGAGAACTCCGTCAATCGATGTATGGAATTGGCGTCGGCATACATAGACCTGCGCTGCCACCTCTGAGCATGCGTTACTGGCCGTTGATTGACAAACATTCATACAAGTGTCTCTTGCTCTGTTCTTGTTTTTATTTCTGGCGACGGACTCTTGCACGAGTCCGAAAGCATAGACAAATAAACGAACGTTTCCGGTGCCCGACCAGTCTCGTTCTTCCCTACTCAAACAGACATGAGGAATCCAAACACTCGCCTCCAGACGTCTGACTGACCTTAGAAATCTGGACGGAAACTCTGTCGTCAATTTCAGTCATCTGTGAGGTGGAGTGACCTTGATAAGGAGACTGGTCTACCGATGCGAGCCAACTGTCATTGATGGCTACCCTGCGTTCAGTGTATTGAACAGCCGGCGCCTGTTGATGCATTGTAACCCTTTTCTGCATGTTGGAGGCAAAAATGCTCATGCTTTGTTGCAAGCACACTTCGGTTGCGATGCTCAGTGCACAGTCTGCGGAAGGGAGTTTTATGACGGCCCACATACGACGCAGGTTGACTAGCTTCACGCTGGCTCGACAGTCCATGTCGATGCTTGTGCAACCAACGTTGCGGTGAGGGTTTCTAGCGAAGACGAAACGATCTTGCTTTGCCCTCTTTGCCATCGTGAAAGCTTTAAATGCTTATTCACTGCCAGTGACGCTTTTCATTATGCGGTCACGAAAATGCGCGATCACCTGCCCGAACGCATTACGTTCCACAAGTCGTCACGGTTCACCGTGTCCAAGGCCTTGTGCGACATGCGGGCATGATGTAGAGACTTGTCATAAATTCTGATATCTTTCCTAGTTACCAAACAGCGGAGACTAGATTGACGGTCCCACGACGTTGGAGTCTGTTTTCCAGGTGTGTGTTTACGCGACTGGAAAGAATGTAGGTATTATTTTTCCTGCAATTATGGGGGAGCGAGATTCCACGGTGATTTTCATATGCTTGATGTTTCCCTTTTCGTCTGCAAAGACTAGCAGTGGTTGTGACCTCAAAGTCCTGTACTTCCACATGAACTGAAACGGCGAAGTCAGTCCGTTCAGAAGTTGGCCTTCACTGTATGTAGACTTCTGCTGGAAATAATTGGGCGCCTGAGGTTATCCAGTCGAGTGCCTTTTGAACTGCCCTGGCGGTCATGGCGAGCACTCATTTACGCCTGAGGCGTCTCAGTTTCATTGGACTGACGACAATAGATCGCCCTGGTGGCTATGAATTTCAATTTCGCCGACGTCTGCGTGTCTTCCAACGTTTTCTGCCCTTGTATCTCCCTTGGTCTCTGCTACGATTGCCCTTGGCCCTGTTGCTCGCATAGGTCCTGAGTAGAATGTTTTCTTCAGAGAGCAAACGAAGGGTTTCATTGTCGTTCTCAGACAGAAGGGACTTTTTTCAGCGTGAAGGACTCGATAACTTCTGTGTCGGTACTATGAATGGAATCGATTAGTTTCTCTTATTTGGTCTTAACGCTATCCTCCTCTTCCCGGACTTGTATTTGTTCCAGTTCGATTTCTAATTTATTGGCAAATCTTCGTCTGTCACGTCCGTGTTCAAGTTCCCTGGTGCCCTATTCCCTTGGGGGCTTCTACGCGGTTGGATACACGGACCAATTTCCGCAGCTGTGCGACGATTCAGCATTTGGCATTACGCTCCGCCTTTGTCACGAGCACGACAAGGCGATCACGCCACCTGACGGACTTGCAGTCCAACAGTTGCCATTGGCGTATAACCTAGACTGCATTTATGCCCTCTTCTCATGACTGGAAGACCGAAAGTTGTACTGGTAACAAGGGGACTGTGTTTTGTGCAGGCCCTCAGTAGGGGGCCCACTGCTATAGCAAGTGGTTTTGTCAGTGCCTTCTGTGGTATCCGAATGGCTGTGAATGATCTGTCTGTCCACTTTCGGCACAGACGCGAGGAGGATGTGCAGATCTTCGAAGTGCTTGAAAATTTAGTGGTAATACATGGCGATGTCCATCGTTGACCTATGAACTGAGTGGGGCGACACAGATTTGCGCTGAGTCTGGATCACTTTGATCTTCACACCCCACCGTCTTGCAGCGGTAAAACTAGATCGAGAAGACTGGAAATGGGTGTGGGCGCAGTAGTTGACAAGGTTTAACAGCCAGCCTACGAGCACCAAACACGATCTTGTCTCTAAATCCATGTGTAACAGGTTCCCATGAGGGCATCTCGGATGCCACATATATGTTAGTGTCCTTACAACATTTGAAAAAGCGGTCTGACCTTCGTTTCAAGAGGGGAACAGAAATGTATCTTCAGTCAGTAGTCTTTTAAAACATGGTTTCCAGTATATCGTAGTAATTTTAAGCGCAAAGTACTATACTGAGGTGTGTTGTTTTACGGTGAGGAAGGCACCTCGATGTCCACCGAACCTACTTCGCCATAAGTCACATTGACCCCATTTTGACGTAACACAACAAACGGGCTGTCGGTTTAAGAAACACGACGAACATACACGCGGGAATTTGAGACCGTATAATTCCTCCACCTCTTCAATACATATTCCTCCAGTCGATGTTATACGCACTCGAAACACTGTGGTGTAACTTCAAAATCAGTGAAGATGGCTACCGCATTTCAATAGCAGTGAAAATTTGATTGCTGGGACGCCACTTGCTGTTGCGCCCTCTAAGAATAACGAACAGCTGTTTAAGCACTTACATTGCGTTCTGTCAAGCCTCCCCTTTTGTGACTACGATCCCTAACTTTTCTGTTCTGCGGTAGTAGGGTCGCGGTTTTTTAGGCCTCCAGGTTGCACGCAAGATCTTATTCAGCAGCGCCGACGGCTCGGGGGCGGCATAAAAGTTCATGTAAAGGCTGAACACTAAGGCATCCGTTTTCCCTCATCAGTATTTTGGGCACAGGCACAAGAGGAAGGACAGGGGAGTTGCAAGTCAAAAAATGAATGCGTAATAGGATGATAAGAAGGAGCTAGCATTTGACTCATAGACATAGTAAAAGGCCAGCCACCACTTGGAATCCTAGCAGCTGTGTTTGTGGTCTACACAGAGCAATATCACATGCCAAAAAAACTACGGCAGAAAATGGACAGTTACCTGTGAAAAGTACCGGCTGAGTACTGGCTGTTGGACGGTGGGGCTTGGAGATGAACAGACTACAGTGGGCTGACAAGCAGTCAGTACGGCGCAGGTGGGTTGTGGGGATTGCATTGGTTGGTGTGATGACGAGACAGTAGTATTAGCAACAGCTGAGGTCGTTGTAGTTGTGGTTTGGGCCACAGTTTGCATGATGCTAGGCCCAGCTGTCAGGCCCGGTAGAGAAGGGGAGGAAGAAGCAGGTGGCCCGGGCTGAAGAAATCGGTGATCGGGTACTTGAATGAAGTTCGTCGGGGTAGCGGCCGCTGGATTTCCGGCTGGAGGCAGAACTACGGCCATTGTTCCGAGCTGCATAGGCCCACGCATCAACTGACCGGGAGCTATTGACACCATCTGTGGTGCGGTTTGAAGCTGTTGATTTGAGGCGATCATGTAGGGCGATGATATGCTGGCCATGTTTTGGGGTTGGGCCAAAAATATGCCACCTGTGCCTGGACTAAAAGAGTTTAAGAAATAAATATATTCGACTGAGTGGGAGGGCAAAAAGAAACTCTACCTACACCTCGATAACCATCACCAGGCCAGATGAAGAAAGTGCTACATGAAGCAAATTTGAAAATGATTATATATCTACGGGGACTCACTTAGTAAGCACGATTTGCTGTCCCATTGGCACACCCTGGTAGATGTACGAGGGAGTCATCATACCAGCCTTGGGCCTGCATGAATCGCTGTTCTGTTGCACATGTGTTGTCTGGGGGCGCGCAACAAGCGATGGTTGTTGGGCAAGGGATGGCAGCATGGTGAATGTAACTGGAGTAAATGTGGCAGCAGCCGTGGTAGGCATGTAGGGTGTCAACGACCCCGACACTGGCGACGTCATCAGGGCAACAGAAGGTTGGACTACTGGTTGCGAGAAGGGTTGTGTTGCAGTGTGGAGCACCGCCGAGGCGGTACAGCTTGGTTGAGGACTCGGACAATCACTACTAGACATGCAGGTAGTAATGTTCGACTGGAGTGGCTGCACAATCTGAATGGGTTTGGGAGTACCTCCAGAAAGAGCGTGGATAGGGGTCGCTGTCTGGGATGGTGTCCTGGATACAGAGACAGTAACGAGGGAAAATGATCTGGGACGAGGATACGATAAACTATGCCTACACTTAAGAGGAAGGAATAAGCATAATTTGTCTAACATAAGCCAAAATAGATAAGTGATGACCAGAAAGGTTAATAAAATGAGTATAGAAAGTTCAGTCTGCAGTGCCCGAAGTACTTATATGAAACGTGGCAAATTTTAGACATTTAAGTTAGCGGGTTCGTCATGGCGCTGTTTCCTCTAATTAATCTGGGTATCTATTATATAAGTTCCGAAAAACCGTGCCACGGATCCGCAACAAGTGGACAAGACGCCGTAAACCGGAAATTGGTGTAAGTGTGAGCTCTGCAATTTCGGGACTTGTAAGGACCTATCTGGAGAAATACCTACTTAAAGGGCACGTAGACCTTACTGCTTCCCCATGCCCACTTATGGTGGTCACAGTTTGTACGCACAAAATAAATACCTCCTAGCGAAAGTGGTTTTGTCTCCCTCGAAGCAAAACGAATGAACATAAGAGTCAGAAAGCCGAGAGCACCAAGACATGGAGGTGGTTCTTGGACCTTCGGTATTCGGTCTCCGTCGTTGGCGAAGGGAATGGGTTGAACTGTCTAGATCTGCGGCCGCGGATCGTCACGCGTGGAGAGGTACAATTCGGGACATCATCGAGGCCGGCTAGATCAGGCATGATCGCAGCCGTATCAAGTAAGTAAGTAAGTAAGAGCACCATTGAGCGAATAGCGAAAGGACCATGTATACTGAGCCCTCGAAAATAGCCCGAAAGTAATGGTATCCAAGTAGTGGGGTCAGTTTAACGAAAATTCGTCATGGCCCAAAGTTTCTGATGTGCCCGATAGCATTGAGCCGCCCAGGGCTAGACATTTGCTAGCCCATTTGACTTGCGGGCTAGTAATCTGACTGGCTGACAGTGCTCGATCTCTGTGAGGAAAGAAGCTTTTCTGCTACGTCCCTCCTCGGTGCTCACCAGAGTGCATTTCGCAAGTCACGCCTGGGGGGTCCCCTTGAGCGTACGCACGCATGCAGGGTGCATGCACGCACTTTGTCCGGAATTTCGGCCCCTGTCTGGCGACTTAAGTCGCCTCGGGTTACAATGATCTCAACTCGCCCGAGAAGACGCGTGAACCTACTGTCCCCGTGTGGATAGTGTCCGATAGGATTACTGAAAAAAAGCTAGACGATCGCAACGCTAGCCCGCATCCGGGCTAGCCCTGGGTGAGTAGAATGCAATCAGGGATACAATGAGGAGGCCCGCTGTCGGAAACTGAGGAATCGGAAAAACCGGAAACGACCATGCAAATACGAGATTTATCAAGAGTTGGTCGCACATACATAGTGACAAATTAGCGTGCTACAAAGTGACACGTAATATGCGCAAACATGTTGTATGTCGTTCAGAAGCACCGAATTTGGGTATAGCAGGAAATGACCTTCACTGACGCATATAATCGAAGTTGTCTAACACGAAATATGGTTAAGAGCCTGGTCCAGTGGAAATAATGTGGACCATATTTACGTTTCCAAAGCACAAATCACAAGGTAATGGATAAATGCGCATTGCTCGGGCATTCACAGCTAAATTCGGAGAAATCGGCGTGGACCAGCTGGACGCAGCAAACCTTCACTGGACGATCAGAAAAATAAAGGGCAACCTGTCCTCGTGCCGTGTCGATCTGTGCTAATCAGACCAAACCGTAGGAAAGGGTGATTTAATGGCAGGTAAGTGCAGGTCGTACTCAGCGTTTTATAAATCGGGTTAAAAAAATAATCGGAGTATATACTCACGGTTGGCGACTCATGACTTTCTAAGAGGGACGTCATCTAGACCCATTGATAGTAACAGGACAGGCATGACCGCCAGGATAATTGCACACTTAGATAATATCCCAAAGCCAACAACAAATACAGGGAACGGGAGAAGAAAGTTGTTGCAGAGGACCGTCACTCCACCGACAGAGTCGAATTACTGACAACAAATTCACAAAGAGATGCAATCAAACAAAATTGGTCATAATCTTCGAGCAATGAAGACTTAAAGCTGAAGTTGCGGATAGACAATAGGAATGACCATAACTCTGCTGGCGTCTTAGAAGTATATGTCTAACCCAAGTTTCTGCATATATTTAAAAATAAAGTCTGGCAGCTTTTTCTCAAGTAGCTCGTTATTCAATTTGCAATGCCTCTGCACACGAAGTCAGACAATAAAGCGAGTTCGCGAGCCAATGTTTCCGTCTTATTGTCATTTTTAGTCCCCGCTAACCTGACGTCATCGTTTTTATAATTACCTGAGACCGGCATAAGCTAGGATAGTGTACATCGTAAGCGTTCCTGGGACGACGGCGAATATTGCTTTCGTTCATCATAGAGTCACAGCCGAGAGTAAACTATGTTATTGTTTCGCGAATTAAGAGTGTCTGAATATATAACGAGCATTCTGTTATTGTCTGCTTTGATGGGACCCCGACGGGTCTTTAATACGTGCCATACGTGTCCGTTTGTGCACAACCGTTCAAAATCGTCAGACTCGAGATAAGTTGAAATTCATTTATAACTGAAATAATTGATAAATTTCTGCGTTGATTTTGCGTCGATTTTTATTAGCTGTCGAAAATAACACATAAATCCATTACACTCTCTCCATTTAACCATGACCGATGTTACGTTTGCTGTCGACAAAGTAGATCTTTCGGCCATCGTCCGTTTACAGAAGTTCATCGAGAAACATGAACATATTTTTACGATTCTCGATTCACAAGCAGACTCAAATGGATTCACAAACAGCCTAACGAGCCTACCACAAATTGAATCGATTATACATTTAGTTTCGTCTGAAGTCGCGGATAGATCGAAAGGCAGGCTCAATTTAATTATCCGTAATATACCCCACACCGTTAACCCGACACCATCAATTCAAAATTTTATACATTCGTGTGGCTTGAACATCAGAGTAGCTAACACTAAAAGACTTCATTCCAGAAGCAAAAACAAACCCGTCTTAGTAACCTTCTACTCACAGGCGGAAGCTGAGATTGCCCTACAAAATCCTGAAGTAAACAGAAATCTGCGGAACATAAACTCATTTATAGGTCCAGATCTGACACCTATGCAAAGACGTAACCTTCGGGAAAAAGACACCGCCTACAAATACGATAATCAGCACTCCGGTCGCTCAACTGAACCTCTAGCCACTACTTCTACTTCTAGCACTAATAAAAATAAATACACAGGCCAGCGTAAACCAAATGATAAACCCACAGCCCCCGTAGAAGGACCTCCAGCATGTACTTCTGACTCTAGTTCTTATGATAAAAAAACGCACAACTGCAAAAGTATTTAGGACTGCTGGTTTCGATACAAACGAGGGGGGCACAACAAAATAACAACGTTCAACCACAACAGAACGATGATGCAGATCCCGGACCGAGTCATGTGACACCATTAGATAGCAATATAATTTTTTCTACACCCCCCCGAGACCGATCAATCAGTACTAGAAAACGACTGCCAAACAAGACACATAAACCAAAAGGCCTTACTAAGCACACCAACACAACGAAAACGCCCTAGGTATGTTGAAATAACAAATAGAAGCCCACCAAACTCTAACCAAAAACAAACAAGCTTCCATAACGGCATCTCGACTCCCCAAAATCCACCTGCATGGCATAGGAATAAGCTAAACCACTCTAGCATTCCAAACTCCTTACCACCTAATTACAACCCTACAAATTACTTTGGCTTTTACACCTCCCCAACTGAAACCCCGTTTAGGTACAATTACCACCTAGTTAACGCACCTCCCCATATTTACCCTCAGTCCATACACACTAGCCCATGCACTCACACTACGCCATACGCATCACCATATCCTCCAAGAACAACACACCTACCTCCATTTAGTCCATCACTCACTCAAAGTACCCCCAGAAATCCTTTTTTTCACCACAGCCCGCCTCTTCCATATCAAACATCCTAAAGATAGCTCTTATAAATTCGAGATCGATTGTCAACAAAATATCCCAACTAAGAACTTTTGTTGAAATATATAACTCCGAAGTAATTTGCATTACAGAAACATGGGCAAATAAACTTATATCGAATGCTTCGCTATATGTCCCAAATTATAATTTCTATCGACAGGACCGTGTTAATAAACGAGGCGGAGGTTGTCGTATCTACATCAAAACTAGCATTGAGCACAGTGGTGTTGATGTCCCAACCGAAACTTTTGCTGGAGAAGCGTGTTTTGCCACAATAAAATCTCATGCCCAGTAAAACATGCTAGTCGGATGCCTCTACTCCCCTCAAGAATGTAGTAGTGATGACACAAGCCTCAACCTCTTAATAAGCAATATAGGTAACATAAAAACTGAATATAAGATAATTGCAGGCGACCTAAACCGCCCAGAAATAAACTGTGTCAAATTATCAGCACCTACCAGGCACGAAGAATTTTTATCTTCGATTAGCTTTAATAACTGGACACAAATAGTTGACAAACCCACCCGAGGAAACAACATACTAGACGTTATTTTCACCAACGATATCTGGCCCCTCTATATGCACTACGACTGCGCAACCTTTGAAAGTGACCACAAAGCAATAATATCAACACTCCCCTTAAACGCAAAACTAGCACCCCATTTTAGTAACACCCGCCTAAACCCAAAAAAACTTGACGAGGACTCCATGAACAACTATATGAGATCATTAGACTGGAGCCCATATCTTCTAACAACATCCCCTATGGAAGCAGTTAACCTATTATACTCTGTCCTATTTGTAATTCGAGATACCTTGATAGACGAAAGAATCCCGTTTAAGAAATCACCAATCCCGCACTTCCTTTCAACTAAACTAATAAAGCTACAAAAACAGCTACGCGACCCATCTGTGAGTTATTTTTCCACACTTCGACGAATTAGGGAAATTCACGACCTAGTCACGAAAATAGAAACACAAAAGACCATAGCAGCAGAACATCGGGCACTAGAATCCGCCGAAAGAACAGCTCAGATGTTTCAGAAACTAATGAGTAATCATCGACAGTCAGGACCACGAACTATTATTAATGAATTAGGGGAAGTTATAACCAATGATAAACAAATGGTAAACTTATTCAACAGATACTTCTCAGCTAACTACACAGTCGAAGAGGGAACCATCCCCCAACCGACCGAGATGACTGAACGCATCCTTAGTGAGATCCATTTTAGCGAAGAAACTGTTAAAGTAGCCATCAAACAACTATCAAACACCAAATCCTATGGGACAGACAAAATCCCACCATGTATTCTGAAGCATATCACATATGCTCCAATACTCCTATCTAAGTTATTCACCCTACTCCAGTCAAATGCAATTTTTCCGGACATGTGGAAATACTCGACCATTGCGCCCATATTTAAAAGCGGCAACCGATCTCATACCCAAAACTATCGTGGTGTTCACCGAACACCAGCTATAGCTAAAATCCTCGAGAAAATAGTATATAACCAATTGCTAGACCATCTTATGAACGCCAACCTCATTCTCTCCTCTCAACATGCATTTTTACCCAAAAAGTCATGTCAGTCCTGCCACCTTACTTTTTTGGAATTCTTTTCCAGCAATAGAGATGATGGAAACACAGTAGCTTCAATATACTTCGATCTAAGAAAGGCCTTTGACCAAGTCCCCCATAAAAGACTACTGATAAAGCTAAACAGTCATGGAATTAGGCCACCCCTTCTCGATTTTCTTAAATCTTATCTTCAAAACCGATACCAAATTCGAAACGTTGTCTCAGAACCATCCCCTATTACCAGTGGAGTACTTCAAGGCACTATCCTATGCCCCCTTCTATTTCTTATATATATTCACGACTTATCGTCTATATCTGTCTCAGCTAAGACGTTTTTATATGCGGACGACCTTAAAATTGCATATGCATATAGCGGGATTACAGTAGCCAATATTCATAGAGCAATTGAAACTGATCTCCTAAAACTCAGCGAATGGAGTAGTCAGTGGCAGATGCCCTTTTCACTCGAAAAATGCCATCTCCTGATATTTGGCCCACAAAAACTCCCCCCATAATATTCGAGGATAATGAAATAACAGAGGCCCAATCGGTAAAAGATGTAGGTCTCAGCTATACAAATACCCTTGATTTATCTCCCCACGTCCAACAAATATCACCGAAAGCCACTCGCCTGTGTGGACCGTGAGGTCTTCTTACTTCTGACTCTGGCACGTGCTGTTAAATATCGTCGGTTCTATTCTGTAAATGCAATTGCTATTTGGAATAAACTACCAATGAGTGTGAAAACTCTGCAAAATTATCCTTTATTTAAGAGAACTATTACTCGATTTTTGCATTCAGAAAAGCTTCCTCAAATTTTGAGTTCTGAATCCACTGATCGACTCTACCGTAGCGATGTCGTTTGTGGTCTCTGAACACTATAGCTGGTCTCATCAGCTGTTCCTCAACGCCTCTACTTTGACTATCCCCAACTTCATGAAAGGAATTGACGTCCGATAATCTC